GAAGGAGCGCCCTTTTTTAAAAAAAAAAAAAAAAAAAAAGCGTAGAACAGGAGGAAGGCAGAATTGAGCTGAAAGAGTTCTTTTGGAAAAAGGATTCTTCCTCATAGAAAGAGGTTTACTGCTGTCAGAAAATCTCCCAAGTCTCACCCCCACTCCGCCCCCACCGCACCTCTTCCTGCCCCTGCTCTGCACTCCTAGCCCGCTGTGCAAGGCGAGCTGGAGGGTTACCGGGGGCCGGGCAGAGCAGAGAGATGCCCAGCGGGAGCTCCCCAGCAGCCCCTGGGTCGGATGCGCTGGAGCTGAGGGTGTCAACACCCGCTCGAGTGGCAGCGTCACCCCCCTCCAGCCGCACCACGTTCCTAGCCACCCGAGCGTGTGACATGCGTCTGCCTTGGCAGCTCTGGGCACCCCTGGTGAGGCGTGGGGCGCTCAGCGTGATACACACCAGCCAGCTGCCCTCGTGTTCTCCTTCCGGCCTCCAGGGAGGGACTGTAAATAAACCAAAGGGAGCCAGCTCCTGGGCCTGGCTGGGCTGCCAAGGCCTGGCTGGAGCAGAGGGGGGCTGGTTTTACTCCATCCCCGGAGAAGGAGGAAGAGGGGCTGTGTGAGGCTGACTCACCCTTCCCCAGGCTGGCTCCTGCGTGGGCCATGGAGGATCGCTCGCCCTTCCCACATGAACAGGCCAACCCGTCCTACCACAGAGACGTCTCTTACCCCTTTGCTAACACCAGACACAAAGTGCAGTGCTAGCGCCTGCCTGGCTACGCAGCAGATGCTCTCTTGAACCCGCTCCACTTCTCTTTCTTCCTTCCACCACCTTGCCCCTCCTCCGACATCGGCAGCTACTCGGTGCCGCGTTCGGGGGGTTTTCTAGCCGTGGGTCTCTCTAGAGTGCATGAGCTGATTGTCACTTGACTTGAGAATTAAAACAAACCCACAGCTATTCTCCTTAGTTGGGCTCAAATGATTTCTCTCCCCCGCCCCACTGTTTTGAGTCAGTGTCCACACGTTTGCATCGGGCACGTCACAGTGGAGAAGCTAAATGAATTCTCCCTCCGTCTTCACTGTGGAGGGCGGGAGGGAGATTCCCAAACTTCAGCTGCTCGTTTTAGGTATCTCCTCAGCGGAGCTGATTGACATGTTGGGAATCAGAGCCAATCTTAGGGGTGGGCGAGCCAGGTGGTCGCCCGGAGCCGCCATTTTCAAGGGGCTGCCTACAGAGCCAGTCTTAGGGGCAGGCCGCAACCACATTTCAGCTTGACCTCCCGAATCCAAGATATCGGAGGGCAAATTTTGACAGACTTTTGTCCAGTATAGTAAGTCTCCAATTGTCCGGCATCCAGAGGTCCGGCACTCCCAATAGTCCGGCACCAGCTGGAACCCGGAAGTGCTCTGGCCAGCCGGACAATTGGAGCTGCTCCGTGCCGCTTCCCCACGTCCGCCACTGTCGCTGCTGAAACTGACCAGCGGCGGACTTGGGGATGCTGCAGAGCAAAAGCAGCTGGGGTGCTGCCGGGCGCCGAGCAGGGGGGTGAGGGGCGGCGCTGCGGGACCAACCCAGCAGCATCCCAGCTGCTCTGCTCCACACCGCTGTTTCCGGGAGGGGAGTGGGCTTCCTACCCCCCAGATTACAGTAGTTATTGCCGATCAGGGGGGTGAGGGGCGGCACTGCGGGACCAACCGGGCAGCGCCCCCTGGCTGCTCTCCCCCGCCCTTCCCCCAAGTCCGCCGCTGCTGAAACTGACGAGCAGCAGACTTAGGGAAGCTGCAGAGCAGAGCAGCTGAGGTGCTGCCAGGTTGGTCCCGCAGCGCCGCCCCTCACCCCCCTGCTTGGGGATAACTACTGCAGTCTGGGGGTGGGGAGCCCACTCCCCTCCCCTCCCCTCCTGGAAACTCTCGGCAGCGGCACGGGGCTTCCCCCACCTTCCTGCAAAATAGCTGAGGATTCTCTCCTCGCCGTTCTCTGCCCAGCTCCTGGACACAGTGCGGGTCCGGCAGACCCGTCACAGCACCCCCGCCAGAGTACATCCCGATACTCCGGCATATCCGATAATCCGGCACCACCTAGGTCCCAAAGGTGCTGGATTATCGGAAGTCTACTGTATTTTGTTTAAACCATCTGGCAACCCTACAGGCAAGTCGGGTGATCGCCCAGGGCCTCCAATTGGTTAGGACTGACCCTGTTTAGAATAAATCGATCCATTGAACAGTAATTAATCCCACGGACCAGATGGGATTCACCCCAAAATTCTGAAACAATTCAGATATGAAACTGCCAAACTACTAACTGTTATGGAACCTATTGCTTAAATCAGTCTCTGTACCAGAGGACTGCGGGAAAGCTAATGTGATGCTGATTTTCTGGAGGCAATCCTGGCAATTCTGGGCCAGTAAGCCAAACTTTGGCACCAGGAAACTGATAGAAACTATAGTAAAGAACAGAATGATCAGGCACATAGCTATACACAATTTGTTGGAGAAGATTCAATAAGGCTTTTGTGAAGGGAAATCATGCCTCGCTAGTCTACTAGAATTTTGTAAGAGGGTCAAAAAACATGTGGACAAAGGTGATCCAGTGGATGAAGCGTACGTGGACTTTCGGAAAGTCATTAACAAGGTTCCTCAGAAAAGGCTTTTAAGCAAAGTAAGCTGTCATGGGATAGGTCCTCTCGTGGATTGGTAACTGATTAAAAGATAGGAAACAAAGGGTAGGAATAAATGGTCAGTTTTCATGTAAACAGTAGGGTCCTCCAAGGATCTGTACTGGGACTAGTGCTGTTCAACATGCATGATCTGGAAATGTGGATGTGACGGTAGGTGATCAACCAAGAGCCATGCAGACACTGAAACTCTTCAGCTCTGAGGAGAAGGCAGTTTCAGGCGGAGCATCCAGGAAACCCACCTCCAGCTGGGATCTGAACCCCAAATAAACCATTCACGCAAGCCCCATTTAACAACGAAAGGAGGATGTACACCCAGATGGCTCCCCCAGGTCACACGTGTTTACCCTGGGCTTGATAGTACATACAAGTGATTTTATGCAAGCAAAAAGGGACAGAGCACTTACATTTGTAAGTGAGTTACAAATTTAAAATAAAGGCAAACGCATCGCGCGCTCTAACACACTAACGCTTATTGCAAACGTATCCTAAAACTATTCTTATTTTGGCTAAACTTCCAAGCCAGGGAAGATCTTTTTCTCCCTGGGATCTCTGGCTCTTTTTTGGGTATCTCATGCCAGCCAAGGACAAAGAGCCTGAAAACTTTGCATCTTAAATAGCCTTCCTGTGTGTGGGGGGAAATTCTGTTTCAACATTCCCCTTTCCATGAAAAATTACCTGGTTGGGCCCTACCAGTTGGAGTGATCCTGTATCTTCCTTGTCTCTCTGGCCTCTGTTTGTCAGAGGCTGTTGAGGGATGGCAGGAGACAAATTGCTTGATCATTGTATTCGGTCCACCCTCTCTGGGGCACCTGGTGCTGGCCACTGTCGGCAGACAGGATACTGGGCTAGATGGACCTTTGGTCTGACCCAGTACGGCCGTTCTTATGTTCTTATGTTCCTATGTCCAACCATTGCTTAGACTTAAAGGACAAAGGAGGCTGCTTACAGGTGATTACCCAGACGTTGAGGGTAACACCCTTGGTGGCTTCCACTTGCACATTTAAAACCATAAACCGTTCCCTACCCCATGTTGCTAACTTTACACACAAGAATGATACACGCACCAAAATAAGAGATACAGACCCGGCAGAGTGTGACATTACAATTGACAGGTTACATGAGGTATTTTGTCCAAAGCAGCTTTGAGTTATGCATATTTGTATGCATAAAACAATTTCATACACATGTCGGGGGCCGGAAGGGAGGGGGGGGGGCTGTCACAAGGGGTACACAGGGAGGTGGCATTAGCTGCCATTAAGTTCCTGAAGATAGTTCAATCCAAAGCAGCCTGCAGAGAGTTACACAGAGATCTCACAAAGCCAAGCGGCTGGGCAATGAAAGAGCGGATGAGCTGATAAGTGCAAAGTAATGGCCATTAGAAAACATCATCCCAACTGTACATACAAACTGATGGGGTGTGCAATAGCTGTTACTGCTGAAGAGAGAGCTCTCTCCTTCATCCTAGACAGTTCTCTGAAAACACCTGCTCAGTATGCACTGCCGGTCACACGCGCGAACGGTATTTCAGAGATGGGAACACACATAAATCTGTAGGGGGACATTGTAACCTGCCTGGGCACTCAAATCATGGATTTAAAAGCAGCCATTCTTCTCCAAAGGAATGTCACTGACCAATTACAGAGAGGGAGTGCGGAATTGGCCTGCATATACAAATTAGACAGTGTCTATGGGCCTGAACAAAGACTTGAACTGGATGGCCCATTATAAAACCTGCTTTTGTTACATCCAACATCAAAAGCTAAAAAAAGGACACTTCCAGCTCACTCAATTAGCCTCATTAGCACCAGCACTATAATTGACAGGTGCTTTTTTTTCTCTCTCCCTTCTTTTTCTGTTCTAAATTCTGGGTTCCCTTTTCTTTCCACTCCGGCTCATCTGAAGAAGTGGGTTTTGCCCACAAAAGCTCATGATAATATAGGGTATGTCTACACTACCACCCTAGTTCGAACTAGCAGGGGTAATGTAGTCATCCGCAGTTGCAAATGAAGCCCAGGATTTGAATTTCCCGGGCTTCATTTGCATGAAGCCGGCCGGCGCCATTTTTAAATGCCGGCTAGTTCGAACCCCGTGCCACGCGGCTACACGCGGCACGGAGTAGCTAGTTCGGATTAGGCTTCCACAAGGAGTACAGCTAGTTCGGATTAGGAAGCCTAATC